ACAGTCGGTGGTCGCTTATTGAATCGCGACACCGTGGGGCGCGCCACGCCCGGAGGAATACATCTAGTTTGCATAATCAATTTTAATGCTCGCCGTAGAAACATAGGACTGGCCGTTGAACATCTACCAGCGAGAATTAATCAGAGTATACTGGCCAGGCCTACGCCGCTAATTACTATTGCCATCCGATTCGGAGCTTATCGGTGTCGTTTAGCGATACCGAGATAATTACTGCCACGCCGAAAGGAACAGTCGTGAATAGGTGGAACTGCTTCGTAGTTATGCTATAGGATCCTTCATTTATTTATTCAATATTTATATAGTTCCTTATACGATCCTTGATTTATTAATTCAATATATATTTAGTTCTTTATAGGATCCTTGATTTATTTATTCAATATATATTTAGTTCCTTATAGGATCCTTGATTTATTTATTCAATATTTATATAGTTCCTTATAGGATCCTTGAATTATTTATTCAATATTTATTTAGTTCCTTATAGGATCCTTGATTTATTTATTCGTTAATTATTTACTTTTATCAAATTATTTATTTATGAATTTGGTTTGTTCGTTGCAAGGTTCAGTACCAATTTGGCTTTGTTATGTTTTGTTATATGGAGGTCCTGTTATTTTATTGAATGTTGCTCGTATTTTTAAATAAACTCCAATTGTATTCCCCGAGTATTGTGTTGTTCTACAAATAATGCAAGAGTTAAAATTAAAGATAAACAAAAGCTTTTTTGAGGTAATAATTATTATTATTATTATTTGTAATGTATAGATAGATAATTTGTAGACGATGAAGGAGAATATGTTTTAGATTATAAATAGTTGTGATTATCTTTGTTCGTAAGAATAAAAGAAATATAGAAAATCGCATTATTTATGGGATGAACAAATAACACGACATTAATGGTAAAATATTGATACTATTTGCAATAAGGTAAAGTCAACTGGATTAGATTAAATTATTTATTAATTAGACGTATTGCAATTGAGAAACGTACGTGTGATCAGAGTATCACTCTTATATTTCCAAGAACTTACTGTCTTATCATGACTATTAATACTCTAGTTTTTTATATTTCTCAGATTGAAGGAACGCAGTTAAAAAAAATAAAAACCGTTGTTCTTCCACATTTTCAATAGGATTATGCGTACTACCGTACTCACATTTTTCAAATATCATAGTTCCTTATAGTTATCAATTCATAATTTCCTCAAATTTCGTAAAAGCGTCTACCATTCTCAAAGAAATGAAGTCCAATATTTTCCTGTATTATCAGTGTATCGAACGATACACCCCTCCAAAATATCTGAAACGAATATGCCCTTCCCAACAATATCAAACAGTGGCATCTTTCCAAATCAAACGAAATCCAAACGAAACAACGGTAATGGTCATTAAACTTACACACACGCTTCAATGTTTCATTCGTTTATTTAATTCTTTATTTAATGACACGCTCGCCCGTCGGCCGTGTCCGTTTTACAGGCAAGGAGGAACCAGACTCTGTTCACCCTTCAAATCGCACCGACACACACGCTCTCTCGGACAAAAGAGTT